TATTTCCCCTCATTCCTCTCTACACTGCAACTTTGCAAGTGCACAAACTTAGTGCAAATGCAATAAACTAGAAGATAACAAAAAGCCTTTTCTTAGTTTTTTCCTCTATATTGAAATTATAAGATACTCCGGTAAGGTTTTTGAATCGGAAAAATCCAAAAAATGTACAAACTCAGTACAACAAAAAATCAAAAAATGTTGAAATAAAAAAAAGGAGAGAGAATGCATCAGAGAATAATAACGAGAAATGGAAGTTAGTGATAAGGAAAAGGAAAGTATCTTATGATTTATTCATATGGCAAGATCATATCTTCCTATTAGCTTTAAATAATTTACTTGTACGTGTCATAATTTTCTTTCCTGTGATTTATGGCTACACATGCCTTCTTTCCTGTGATTGATGATGAAGAAGAATGATCGGTGATGAAGGTGGAGGGTGATGAAGATCGGAGATGATGGGTAAAAATGGTGATTAGAGGATGATGGAAGAAAAAAAGGAGGAAGGTTAAATTTGTAATTTTATTTTTAAATTTATTTGGTTTATACAGAAAAAACCCTTATTTTATAATATGTGCACCCACCGGTGTTGAACCGGTGGGTGTACGTATCTTTATCCATATATGTAACTGATCAAGTGCAACAATATAATGAAGTATTACTGTCTTAATTTTGTGTGCTGTTCTTTGAGTCATTAATTGGAAGTTAGATTGGGATTACACAATATATGCTGAAATGATCACTAATTTCTTCATTGTTGATTTCCATGTAGGAAACTCAAATAAGAAAACTCTTGGTCAATATATGGCATATTCAATAAAAAAAGGAAAAGAAGAAGAAAAAAGTAAAGCACTAATGGTATAATGATATAATAAACCGGTCATAAAACCAAGATAAAAAAAGAAAAAAAGGGCTATAGTCTAGCTATAAATTTAATCAAAAGGATTCAAGACAACCATGACCAAAAAAGCCATTGTTAGTGAGATGTTAGTAACGGTGTTAGAGAAAAGAGGACACTGCGATGCTTTCTTGGAGTAGAGGGAGGACAATTGTATGGTTGTTAAGAGTAGAAGGATGAACAATTTGTAAGTACATGGATGATAATGAATGAAAATTTAAAGTAGAGAGACCATAATTGGCTTTAACCCTATTAAAAAAATCACTTTGCATTAATGAATTTGGATCTACTTGTTTAATTGTACACTGTTGGTTTATAAATCATCAGGATATATGTTCTACATGTTGATTTGGAGAAAGCATTTTTGCAACATGTGAGGAGTAAGGGAAGAAGAAAGGTGAGCGTGGGGTGGGAGGTTATTTGGTTTGCAATGGCCTGAACTCTTTGGTTGGATGTGAATGAACAGATCTTTAATGGCTCTGCAGGGGAGGCGGAAAAACTGTTGACTCTTGTGCAGGTGAGATCTTATCATTAGATAGTAGGGAGAGCAAGAGGAATTGATTTCTCTTTCATAGAAAGGATGACTAGACCAGGGATATGCTTCAGACAACTACATGCAAACAGGGCAACTTGTTGAATGGAAGCTTGTTGCAATAAGTTTGAAGGCAGGGCGGGTATTGTGAGGTAATTTTGAGAGATTGTGATATGCTGCGGGCTATATATTATTTTTGTGATTATAGCTTATGAGCAGATTATGATTATGTGATACGTAAATTGTAATATTATAAGATTTTGGAAAGAGTACCCCTTTACTCTAAGTAAATAAATCATTTTTATTGTTCAAAAAAAAAAAATTACTACCACGTTTGTATATTTTTTTTTTGAACATTTTTTGTCATGGGTTGGCTCGAATCGTTCGAACCGTTGTCATTAAGGAGGGAGATATGAACCTTACAAACGTGACTAAAGTCACTTAACCCGAAGGGCCAAGTTCTACTATGTTTGTATTTGATTCTCCTCTTTTGACAAAATTTGAATTTGTTGGCATGCGGCATGCACCATTGGAGAATACATTATTAGGTGGTGAGTTGCGATTCATGTGAAATTTTTTAATGCGTTCTGTTATTAGTTTTTTGAGTCTTTTTTTAAATGTTTTGTAAATTATGAAGATTCCATTTGTAATAAAAAAAATATTAAAATAATTTTTTGATGGGATTAGTGTTAAAATAATTTAACTCATGGGAAATCGAAATTTTATAAATATGAAAAATAAAAAATAAAGATGGTGCTCTTTTAAAAAATGGCTTTTTTAAAAGTTATTTTAACATCATATTAAATTTAAAATTTTTTTAAAATAAAATTTACTAAATAAGAAATAATTTTAGATTTTAAAAGTAT